GGGGGGGAAGAGAGAGCCGAGTTGAATCTTCTTCACGCGATTCAACTTCCTTCGTTACAGTTGGGTTCTGCCTAATGGAAGCTTCGTGTGCATAACGGGTATGGTACGGTTCACGACTAGCATTCTGGCTCCATCGTTATTCCCCTACCCTTTTCTTCTATGGGAGCTCTGGTGCAGCATGCAAAAATTTTTGAGTAAAACAGAAGGGAAGTTTTTGATTCCTATAGAGGCGCAGCCATGCATGAACTCGGAGATGAGAATGGTACTTTCAGCAGGGATGAGAGGGTAGTTGAAGGAGGCTGAAAACCATCCAGGTTCGGTGAATGGCGTGCAGAGAGAGAGAGAGAGAGAGAGAGAGGAGAAAGGGGGGAAAGAGCGCGAGAGCGAGAGAGAGTAAATGAGAAAAAGAAGTTGGAAGCGTGAGGGAGGAGAGAGAGGGTGAAGAGAAGCGAAGAGAAAGAAAAAAAAATTGGCGAGACTGCCTGAGGGGATGTTGGGAAGGTACACATAAGCATGAAATATGGAGCACCATAAAACCAACAATTTCGCCCCAGTGCACCTGCGATAGAAGAAGCAGCAGCCATAAAAGTCATTATGGAAGGGAGTAGAGGGATTTCCAGTGAATTGTGAATAGGGACTAATAAGCACCTAAAAGAGAGAGTAACGCAAAAGGGAACAAGGAAAACCGAACAATCCCAAGTTTCAGCCAATGGTACATTCCGTCGAGATTTCATCACACAAGACGGGCGGCTCCACGCACAAAATGAGCCGGGACTCATCTCAACAAAACCATCTTATCACCTCCCTTTTCGAACAGACAAGAAAATAGAGTCGGTCGTGCATGACAACAGATTTCCCTTAAAATTCAGATTTCACATATCTGAGTAAAATTAGGTTCAATCAGGTCATAGGTTCATTTAGGCAGATCAATAGGAGAGATGAAGAGAAACTCAACTCTTAGAAGACTAGGTAGGCTGTGAACGCGCAAGTAACTTTAACATTGTATCATCTCTAAAATCTTCTCATCAGGCACGGCCAGCAGTGCAGAAGAGATTGAGAGAACAGGAACTCACATAACACATGCGATGAGCGGTGAGCAAAAAGGATTAAGAGGCTGGTTCAATCTCGGGATCTCCTTGGTCGGCCGACCTTGCCTTTCCTGGTTGCCCCAGTGCCGCCAGGACCAGAGGCTCCAGGGCTTCCCCGCACTTTCAGCGAATCTTGCTCGCACAAAAGGCTCCCATTCACCAGAGCATACCGATCCCCAGTCACCAGGGGAGAACCGCACTTGGAGCAGGCAAAGCATTTTAAATGGTACACCCCTCCACAACCTGACCTCATGACGAACTCCGAGGCTGGGATCGTCTGGCCACAGCTTCCGCAAAGGCCACTACTCCCAAATAACCTGAAAAACAAAAGGACATGGGAATTAAAGAAAACTATACAAAATCGCACATGAACGCCAAGGGCAACCGTTGGATAAAAAGTAGAGGTCACGGAACTAAATTTTTCTCCCTTCTCATTAAAGGGGAAAGATCACTATAATGAAGTGAAAGAGGACATACGCACACATACGAACAGAGTTCTGGCTTGAGGCCAAGCCCAATTTTTCGCTTCATCCTTCGTGAGGAATCATAAAAGATGCGAGTTTTCCTTGACTGCCTCCCCATTCAACCTCCACGTTCCGTGTCTGCCGAGCATTGCAACTAGGTTTTTCATGAAGGATAGGGGGAGATAAAAAGGAAAGAGGCAAGGAGACACGAGCACGACGAACATCCCTCTCGTCCCATTGCCAAGTGCCAACTTGTATTCATCTCGCATGCCTCTATACAATTGTGTTAAGGTCCCACTTATGGGCGATATGATCAGATGATGATCATCATTACGCCTGCATAGTATTTGCAGGAAAAGAATGAGAAATCACGAAACTCCATACGAAAAAAGTATTGGGGTAGGACCAACAAGGCGGTAGAATGGTTGATACAGTCGACTCCGCATTAAAGAATACCGCTCAATGGAATACCATTGCACAGTCCCGATTTACGGTACAATACAGCAGATAGTTTCGGTTATTGGAATACTCCGGATTATAGAATAAAGTTCGCTGGTCCTTTGAGTGTTCAAATATGCGGAATCGACTTATTATGGAAGAGCTAGAAGTGTAGCGAGTTCAATTTTAAAGCAAGGAACTCGGTAAAGGCCGTTTCACGCGAGTCAATTTCTTGACATTAAGGTAATGAAATCAAAATTTCCCCCGTGGAAAGGGATGTCAATGTTGTTTTCAACGTGCTGCATCGAATTAACCACGCTCGTTTCTCGTACAAAAAAAAATTATCTTAATTTCACGGAAACTGACAAGTGAAATAAGTTGCTGTCAACTCAAAATGCTAAAGGCAAAATGCTACTCCAGCTCCGAGAAGAACCTGCAAGGTGAGAACCCCCATCGAGTCAAGTCTGCGACACCAACGCAACACGACAGAAGCATGCCTCCGGGAGAAGTGGATCGTCTCGCGATGGTACCCTGTCTCCTCACAAATGGAATGATCACTCCCGCGAGACGAGTGAATGTTGCCACGTCCACTCTAATCCATCCCCCGTATCCATCAGGCTACCAGAGCCAGCTTGGCCATCATATTTACGAGGAATCCTTGTCGCCTTCCTTGCCGATGAGAGCTGAGCAACGTCCAGCCCGAGTGAGGTTTCCTCCGCTTTTCTCCTGATGAGGCATGGTCGACGTCACCCAAATCTTCTTCAGCACGAAAAAAAAGTATCATTGCCGTGGCCCCTTCTGGAGTTAGGAGTGCACGTAGTATGAAGGAGTGACCAACAATGTGATCCATTTATTTGACTGCACATTTTTATACGATCATCGTACATCGTCATAAGCCACACTTATAATGTATATAATTGTAATGAGTGCTTTTGACTAGTTGAATTCCCATTAAAGTAACTCTACTAAAGTAACAAAAGTCGTAACAATTTACACTTTCTTCAAAGTAACAGTAAGTGACAGTAACACTTACTAGTTAAAGGGAAGGCGCCCAAAACGAGTTTTTAAACATTGGCAAACTGGGCTTATTCCTCTTAAGTGGTGGCACAGGCCAAGTCGCTTCTCATTCCAATTCCTGTCGAAGTCCAAGTAGATGTTTCACTGCATTTTATTCTTAAAAACGAACATTTTCTCCCGGGTTCGCCTTAATTCTCTTCGTGAGAGGAGTGGATGCGGACTAGGGGGGGGTCTCACCATAGTCACAGGACCGCCACGAACTCATCACGACGATGAGAGATTCTCCGAAGCGGTGTCTGTGCATGGGTCAAGGCGAATGCGGCCTACAAGTGTAGCATTTTCATTATGTGTAGTTGATGAGGCAATTAAGGATGGACCACGATCGCCAAGTAATTTAGATGCTAATGATGTCATCAATTGATGAGTCCAAGGTTAGAGAGGTCACACACATCGCGGATCATGTACTCACGCACTCCCCTCCGCGAATAAACGCGGCCGAGGAAACGTAGTACGCAGTACCAGGGCATATATACCTAGTATAGGGCGTTTCAAATCAATATCCCCATTTGAAATATGAGAATTCGACATAAATATATTTTCGTTTCCTAGTCATTTATACATATTCTTATTTTTTAATATTAAAATATCGAGCGGGAGTCTGTGACCAACGTCATCACGCCAAGACTAGATTTGGAACAGATAAATACAATTTAGACTGGTGGCACGAGACTGGTCAGGTAGTACATATTTAACGCCACTTTGACATTCGTGATGCTTCAGACGGGAAAACCATACAATCATCAGGAACTTTGAAACCACTTGAAGGATGGTTTCAAAGTTCTTGGCGATCGTTTGCTTGGTTCTCCTGTCATGAGCATCACGAACGTCATAATGACGATGATCGTCACGTAGAACATGTACTTGGGCTATCAGACCGATCTAGTGCCGCCATTCCACATTCTTCTTACTTCCTTCAAATCAAGACATGGTGACGAACAGGGAAATTTCCGATCAATACGAGTAACGGGGAAAAAGGTCAATGATATAAAAAATACTGTATATTAATGTTTTGTTCGCAATTTCTAACTTGGGATACTGTTTTTGAAATACCCTTCATATACAATAAATAAGGAAAAAAAGAGAAAACAAAGAAAAGGGAACTGGCCAGCAGTAACGGTACACTTCTGCCACTTTTCTTTCTCTTCATGCCCTCCAACACATCTATGGCAGAAGAGCCAGACCTCCCGATAACGACTTAGTCTAACTTATCGAGATGTCAACAGGAAGGAAGGAAGGAAAGGAGCTGCGGGAGGAAACGTGAAAAATACGCGATGAAGAGAAGATGCCGAGATCCTTGCTGAGTCAGTGTCATTTCGCCGGAAAATGATAACTTCTCATGATACCCGTAATGATTGTCTATGCATTTTTTATAAGCCTTCTTGAGGGTGTCACCAGGACAGATCTTAATTAGAGGATGCTGAATATCGCATGAATACGAAATGAGATTTTAATTGAAACTATTCCGAGACCGAGATGGGACACTGGAGAGATAAAGTGAACGCGCAAAAAGAAAAAAAAAAAGAGAGACGAGGGGGAGAAAGAGGGCCAGGAAGAGAAAGTTCCTGAAACTTCAGATGAAAGACATGCAGAGACTCTGGCTTTGAGGCACCTTGACATTAGTTGATTAGACACAAGCAGGTTCCACGGAAAAAAAACCTCTTGGTTTTACTTCTGCGTCATGACTACTTTTGGATGCATCGGTGTAGCTTCGTGATGCTGGACAGGTACTCAGGTCAATGCCATTCCCAGAATGACGAGAAAAGTCATTGGGGTAAGTGCTTCATCCATTCAGAGCGAAACGAAAGGAAGGAGGAAGGAGGGTGGGAGGGAAGGAAGGAAGGAGGGGGGGGAAGGAAGGAGGGGGGGAAGGAGGGAGGGAGGGAGGGAGGGAAGGAGGAAGGGAAGGAAGAAGGGGGTGAGGGAGGGCGGGAAGGAAGGAGGGGGTGAGGGAGGAAGGGAAGGAAGAAGGGAGGGAAGAAAGAAAGACGAGAGACGAAAGCAGAGACGTGAAAAGTGAAACGTGCATGGACAGCCGAGGGGCCGAGACGACGGGGTGGTCGAGTTTCAATCAATCATTGGCACGGCACCGATAATTAAGCGCAGACTGATGGAACGAATAAAGGAAGATTGAGACAGAAAAAATGGGACAAGGGAAAGAACGCCTTCATTTTGATGGATTATTGGATGGATCAAATTAAAGGATGGATGGGAAGAGCAATATAATTGAGTCGCCCGGAGTTGGAAGGATGCCCGAGGACGAGATTACGACATCACTGTAATTTGATCGTGTATTAATTATAGACCTGGACCATTCCTCAACAATGAGATGGGCTTTCCTTCTCTGAGTGAAAACACCGAGAAAAACAGGGCCCGTCGCCATCCCTCTATCTCAATACTCTTCAACCACGACGATTGATGAAACCAGCAAAACATCCTCACACCGATCAAGATCCAGAAAAATTAAATGAGGTGCATCGGTATCTGATAGAAATAAGGATGCCCAGGTATGTCTTGCGAGAATGGAAAATAGCGGGGTATCATAGTGCCAATTTTATTGATTGTGATGACAATGGTCGCCATGGCAACCTGGAGCCATGACGTCGTTAATAATAATTATTGACACCTAAACGAGTAAAAACAAGCCCGGTGTAGGTCATTAGTCACAGGAGACTCGTGATTACAGACAATGAAGAGACAGGAAGTCAGAGCACAAGAACCCTGGTGTCATATGATGAATAATGACGGATAGCACCCACGCCTCCCAGAATGCCCTAGTCCATCATTACGAAACATTCCCCTGGACTCAAGTCCAACGTTAAGTATCTCACCTTCACCTTCTTTTCCCCCTCATGTCCCTGAGACTGGACAGTAAGATACCAGTGTTGTGCCTACAAGTGGGTCACAAAATGAGAAGGATATTTGAAGCAACGGGAAATTCGAAGAAGACGAGGGAATTCTGTCAAGGTCTCAGGCCAATTCCGCGCCTTCCTCTCCCATTTCCCTCTGAATTGCATTCATTCAATGAAGAGTTGGGGGGAAAAAAAGGGAGAGAAAAACTCCGAGATGAGATGAAAATTAGTTTCTTTTCTCCTCCACTCATCGATTCGTTCATAAATATGCGATGCCATGCCAATCTGTCGCCAATGTTCACAGATGACACGACCACGTCAAGTGAAGCAAAGCCGAAATTAAAAATCAAAAAATATGGGCGTTTGTGCTCAGTAAGGGAGAAGAGAAAGGAACCGTTGCCAATGGGAAAGAGCGCAGCTTCTCCTCTTCCCTTCCTTCAGTGCTCATCATGAGGAATTTCCTGCATAATTGGAAACTTGGGAAAACCCTTTCGCTCGCCTCCCGAGATACAGGGGATTTTCTCGTCCCTCTTCCATTGAAGACGTCATGAGAGGATCTTTCTTCCTCCTTCGTAATTTATGTCACTATGGTCACCATATGGCACGAAAAAAAGAATAAAAATGACAGACCATGAGCATGCAAAACCACCATCACTACGATGGAGGAAACTCTGAGCCCTTTGCCATAGATGAATGAGAAATGAAGGAGCTATAGCTATTCCAATGGGCTTCCCGTTCTCCCATAATAAAAAAAAAATACCAACTTCTGACACATCATTCTAAGCTGCCTTGTTTGGCTCATACCACCAGTTGCATAAAATATTTTACAAACATATGCTTAAAGTCTCTTCTTATTGAGGAAGAAGGCACCATATGTTAGAGGGACGCCTACTTCATGAAGATCATGGAATGATGAAAGCAAGGGCAATCCATCATATACCTGGATGAGATCAGGGTTAATGCAGGACACGTGAGAAGCGACCACAGGTGCATCAGGCAAGCCTGCCTAGAAGGAGCAACCGCGGGCGCATCAGACAAGCCATGTCAATAACCGCGAAGTGGTCTAAGAGCTAGAGTGGATGAGTCTGGTTCGCTTCGACGGAGTGATCACGAGCATATGAGACAAGCCATGTAGTCAATCTCAAAGGGATCCAGGAGTACGAGTGGATCAGGCAATTCTACTTCGGAGAGCCTATGAGTGTACCAGGCGTGCCAACAATCGCCATGGTTGTGTGAGGCAAGCCATCCTGAGGGGCGGGGTGACGAATGGATTAATGTCCCCTGTTAGAACTGGCAGGTGGCTGACCATCATGCAGGAAGCTCGAAAGGAGGGATCACGAGGGGGTTCGTTTGATGGACGTCACAAGAAGGTCGTTCCTTTCGTCAATCAATGCATCCTATGTACCTCCCTTCCTCAGCATCCTTCCAGGGTCCAAAGTCTCTGATATTGAAGGAGATAGGTATGCTCCAACGATCCTCGGGACGGATCTGAATGTCGAAATCCCAGAGCCTGCAAGACCGGGTGCCCTCAAAGAGCATCAAGGAGGATAAAGGCTATGATTTCACCATACAACACTATATCAGTTTCTGCGGCAACTGAGAGCAAATACGCCACGAACATTACGACGAAGTAGACAAGGTGAACATTCATGCCGTGAATTCCTTTACCCTCTGCGAACTCATTCCAATTGAGAGTGTTCTCAAGAGGAAAGTTTCTTCGCATCCAATTGCCTCATACGTGATAATGACAATTTTCGTCGCCAAGGAGCTCGACATGTAATTATTGAAACGCAGCAAAATTTCGCCTGGCATACACAGCAGAGGGTGTATGTAGGACGCAGACCAGGAAATGACAGATGGCTTCATCGGGAACTAGCGTGAGTGTGGGGTAGTTACATCTAATGAAACCTTATATGTTATCAAACGTAATAGTGTAATAGGTAAGAGCGTTGTACAATGTACCGCTACTGTAATTTAAAATTTTATTTTTTTTTTCCCCGCAGTTTTAGGTCTTTAAAACAGTCCTGATCACATGATGCTTGAGTGCAATATCCCCTAGATGTGCGTCCCGCGTACCCGAAGTATAGTCTTCGGCCGCCAGCTTCTGCTTACGATGGACAAAAGTTTACATAATCAAGAACCTGACTTCTGCTCGGCAAATATTGGATCCATAATAAGATGAGAGCGGAATGTACGTCCCCGATACCAGCAAACGCATACAGCGGACATGGAAGAACGGAAGAGGCTAAAATGCAGAGACGGACGGAAGAATCAAGCAACCACACCTCAGGAGCCACTCCATTGCATCGGAGTAATAATAGGTGAACACGGTGAATTATTCACATTTCCATTACCAAGGCGGGAATGATAAGCCTTCATATTTCATGACCCGCTTGTTTATGGGGGAGCATAACCCACATGGTGGAGCATGGAAATGTCCACACCTAATCATACATGCAATTATTATTTCCGAAACGGCCTCGAAGAATGGTCGACGTGTGTGCAGCGTGACCGGTCTCGACCCGACACACGGAAGAGCCAGCCACTAAGTGAAGAGCGAGACGCGAGCTATAGAAGCCATACATGATATAAGGAATGCAGGAGCTCATATTCCTGGGGCGAGCCAGCCCAGCCATCACCGAGATGAGACGCGTGGGTAAGGGGGACATGTACTCTGCATTCAACATGATTGAATCATTAGAAATTCATAATTTTGGGGGGGAGAGGAAAGAGATAGGCTCGGAGGAGTCTAAATGGAAGAAGAAAGCTGCGACACCCCCCTCACCCAAGGAAAGAAAACGTAGATCTCTCCCCTTTACGATTCCATTATGCTGATAAATCCATCATATCTCAACTCGTCCATCTAATCCCCATGTTATTGCACTTTCAATCTAGCCAGCCAGCTCTCCGGACTCGTATCGATGCGAAGACCATTACAATATTGCGTCCCTGATGGAAACAAAAAATGCTGATTGCCTAATTGGGCGTTTTCCAATCACATTATCCCTCCTCGTTCTCTCTCTCTCTTCCCTTTCCACCCCTTGTGTGGCGGGGGAACGGGGTGCCCCCCATACTTTTAGCTTGCCTCTCTCTCCCCCTCTTTTTCAATCTTCACTCCATTTTGCTGATTGCGGCAATTGTTTCACCAATACGGTGAACCGGCACCATCAATCAAGATTTTCGCTGCAGCAGAGAATCCTTAGGACATGCGAAGGAAACGTACGTACTCCTATTCCAGGAACCTTTCATTCTCCTTTTCCTTTTCCTTTTAACCCTTCTCCAGTCTGGAAAGAATTCCTGAACCAGTCATCTGTGGCGAAAGAGGATCTTTTTTTGCTGCATCAGAAGGAAAATTCCTGCATAATTCGAGGGAAGCCGATAACTGAATTTCCCAGTTGATATTCAAGCATCGGTGGGGCAGGCATGAGTGCCCGAAATGGAAATGCGATCCGCCACACAAACGCGATGACGTTTCACTTCTGGTCTGGAATGGTTTCACGTATCGAGTTCCTAATTTCCAATTAGGAACGCAATTTCCAATTAATCTCGATGCGGAGCTCCCAGCTCTTGGAAGTGGTGCTGCGACGTTACAGAAACTGCTCCGTTAAACTTTCTACCGCTGATGTTATTGCAGGAACCAAAGACTGAAAACGGCAATGCCATCTTCCACAGCATGACATGGAAAAATCACTGAATGGCATTCGGGTTTCTCCAGTGAAAAAAAAAAAGTTTTCAACGCGACCATGAGGGCGATTGATATTTGTCGTTAGACCTATATGAGGAAAAACCTAAACTGGCAATAATCACGGGATACATGGGAAAGAATGAGTCTGATTGGCTGTTGTTCTGCTCAGTGATTGCAAAGGGGAACGATGTAATTGCAAGGCAGCATACCGCCCTAATTAATGTTTACAGAGCATAGAGACTCGAGCACAAACATGGATCCAGAGGGGGGAAACGCAAGCCCCATTAGACATTCTCCACCGCACAGATTCGAAGGGTGGGGCAGCCAAAATTTTGGATAATCCCGGAATTCTCAGCAGGGTTCAGCCGGGCATCAATCGGGTTTCCCTTTTGTGGGGGAAACAGACGCAGTCGCAATCGAGGATGCTTTGGCCGGGCACAGGAAGCCTACATACTACTCCTGGGGGGAATTAGGGAGCTTGCGGTTCGGTTTACACTGAAGACCGGGGGGGAAGAGCTCATAAAATATGTACCATTCTCTGGCTCCATGATAGGGCTCATGCCTCGCGTTGCCGGCATGTACGACACATGCAATGCAAGCTCTTATCCCTCCCTTCAAAGTGGATCGCCGATACATACATACCTCTCCCATTGACACGCTCCTGTCTGCATTGCTCATTTCCTCTACATGCCAGGTTCGAGCACCCACGAGTCTCAACACAGGCCCCCCTCCCCCCCCCCTCCCCCTTCACCAAAAGGGCAGAAAAGAACTGGGAAACGACTACGGGTCAGGCTCGTCTTGGACACGCAGCCTTGAAGAAGGTGTAATCAGGGGCGCCCTTGATCACTGGAGGGGAGGAGAGGGGGAATATCAACGGTTCAGATTTATTCTGACCTCTTAGTGGAGAAATTAAAGACCATGCCATCCAAACATGTAATTACGAGAGTCTTGAATCAAGGCTAAAGGGTCGAAGGAGGGGGAGAGGCCGAGCCAGTGGAAGATACGCCCAAGAAAAGAGAGCAATATTTCACTGCGTTCGAAGTCAGAGACCGTCAATCTGCTCTTTTTTTCTCATGGGTTTCCATTTCCAAGGAGTTCGAACGTGTGAACTCCATACATCGGAAAACGAACTAACCGACACACTACAAGGATGTAACTTTCTCCAGAAAAATTCCGCGCATTATATGACAACCGGCATAAGGATTCAGCGCCTCGACGCTCTCAAAAAAAGGTACAAGAATGGCGACAGCTTGAGAAAAGCAGATGTGCAGGCTCAACAATGCAGGCAAGACGTAATGCTCGGATATATTCTTTTTTTAAGATGAAAGGAAATTTGAGGGATTTTCGTATAGCACAGGCATCCTGTCTCGAAGAATGAATCGAGGAGGTGAAGAAGGGAAGGGAGAGGGAGGAAAAATATCAATCCATTCATTCATCTTTCGAAGCCATCAACATTTTCAGACAGATAATTAATAATAGCTGAGACAGCAGGGAGAAAGAGGAGTCCGCGCATCGAGGAAGGTTGAATGAAGTCAAGGAAAGAGTGGAAGGACAATGACTGGCCTTGGGATATAATGACATCCATCTTCATAATTGAAGTTGATTGTTCATAATTTGTGGATTGTTATTGGCCACAGGGCTTAGCACGTGACCACCTCTTAGCTCCATTACTCGATACGTGAATGCGATCGGCCTGCTACAGGCATACCGAAGCAAGAAGAACCTTCTTGCTCTCATGGCAAGGATGCGAAAGAAGGGGGAGAAAAAAACCTTGAGCATTGAAACTCACCGAGCGTAGTCGTGCTTGCAAAGGATCATTCCTCCCCTGGTGTAGCACGAAGAGCCGATGTCGGCGAGGGTAGCTGCACAACAGCTACATTTCAGGCAGGCTTGATGCCAAAATCGGTCTAGAGCGTGCAAGAGAAACCGATCTGAGATCTTGCATCCACAGCCAGCGCACACCTGCACGAGAACAAAGCCCAAGAGCGCCTTCACATTATTGATCAGTGATCATCAAAGCAAAACACTCACCCGCCCTTACAATCCTTCATATTCCATTCATCCAAGTCTTTTTTTGCCATAAGACTGGATCAATGGAGTTCGCTTAAGTACGCTTGCAAGAAGTGAGGTTTAAAAAAAAAAAATACCGAACAGTACAGCGACTAAAGTACCGCTCAACAGACGTGACTTTCCAATCATGTTCAGGAGGGCAGCAGAATGTTTGTTTACGTAATGAATCCCAAGCGAAAATAGCGTGCCCATATATCCCTGGGAGCACAAAGAGCTCACTTTGATTCCGTTGATGACTCCGGGACAGAATGAAGTCATGTTCGATGGGACTCCGATGGGACTTCCGTTGTGAAGCAGAGGTCCGGCGCCGCCACACATCCCCATGGACGGGGATCCGTGGCCATGGCTATGGCCATTCCCACTCATGGACTGACTATGGATGAGCCCGTTGTGAATGTTCTGGGACCCGTCGTAAGAACCAGGATGAGGTGGAGGGACTCTCGGTGCCTCCATCCCGGGATAACCCCCACTGCTCAGCATTTCTTCTTTCCCTTCCTCGATATCTCCACCTCCTTGTCCTCGTCCTGGTTCTGAGCCGTACGCAGAATACGTGCCCAGACTCATACGCTTTCGCACCACCTGCAATAAGTCATCAACCCAGGTTTTAAATATTCCACATTGTTATGAAACGCACAGCTACGCAATTTTTGTGGCGCTCAGTGAGGATACTGGTTGATTCAAGACTCTAAAGATAAGAATGGAAAGGTCCATCGAAGATCAAAACAATGTTGAGTTCAAGATCATGAGCGCGGTTTCGACGGAAATACAGTTTTGATCAAATACGATGAAGAAGAAATTCAGGCCGACTGAAACTTTTGCGCTAGAGAACGAAGCAGTAGTGCATCCCATTTGGAACATGAGATCGAAAGCTGCAGGGGGTTTCGCCGTAAACAAGTTGGCAAAACTCTCATTACAGCACGTACATTGTATTTGATAGGGGAGATGTGGCGAAACTTCTAATATTTTTTCCCCCCATTCTTACGGGCTTTTTCGAATCTGTTCCAGCAGAGATCATCCGCAAAACATCGAGTCTGTCCAGACATCGAACAGCTCTCGGAACAACGCAAGCGGTCCACGTTCAACCGACAGCCGCTCGGCCGCTGGATGCGCCCCTGTATCATCGGTTCAAACGATATGATCGTATGCCTCTCGTTCATATCTCTTTCACCTGGACGTAGACCTCAGCGTGGAAGATTTCATTACCACTGGAACCCTGCCGTTCATCTTCCAAATGAGGCATCGCTGTCATTCCTTCATCACGGGGAAAAGAACCAATAACCTGGCGGATATCGTCGTTGCATGCCAGCAAGTAGGCTCTACTGCTTCTGTTGATTTGAACCCTCTGGCGTGACCTATCATGATTTCCCCCCGTTTTCTAGGCATCAGACGAGGAAAATCTACCTCTTCCGCGAACTCCTCGGAAGCTGTCCCACAGTAGTGAACCATTTGCATGTCTTTCTGCAGTTTCTGTTCCCTTTCTTGGGCTCCGAGAGGTTAACTTTCTCATCCCGTCCCGTCGAGCGGGAACATCCTACCTATATTACGTTCTCGAGCTCTAAGTTTCATTCGCCGGCGCGATGAGTTCACAACAGACTGATGGGAGTCTCGCGAAACCGCGCCACATCTCCACCGCATTCAGAACGGATTCGTGGAGTGTCGTGGGTATTTTTTTTTATACAGTCCCTCCCCTCCACTCATGTGGCGTTGACACAGCCCCATAATGGCCATTTGAAGGGACTTGTGATTGCTGGTAAATAAAGATGACTACGCTATATCTTGGCAAATGCAGTTTTTCACTTTCCCAGGGAATAATGGGCCACTGATGGAGATTCCCCATGCCCCTTCTCATCAATATGGAACTAAACAAGTCGACCCCTGTGACAAAGAAGGCGTCTATGACACCCGGGGAGACGACTCGGGGTCCGGGGGTCTAATGAGACAAACCACGTATCGGTATTCCCCAGGCCTTCTGCGGTGTAATGAAGGGAGAGGAAGAAAGGGGAGGGGGAACAGAAATCGAAGAGAAATCAGAGCCAGCCGGACGAGTTCGTTTTGTCTTCTGCATTTGCATGAGCGGACTCGACTTGTAAAACGGAGACGAGGGGCCCCCTCGTTCAATGGCCACGGTCCGTGCTCTGGGCTCAATGCAATCAGCCTGTAATGCAGGTAATGATCTTTTCACAATCCGAATACACACTTAACGAACCGTCGTTGGCAAACGGGCCAATCAGGAAGGCAGAGGAAGTTGAGGGCGTCTTCGATAATGATTTCTATTGACGCTGCTGATGAACCAACCACCTTGGGATGGCTACTGGACTGGCAAACTGGCTCGTTAGCCATGAATGAGAAAGGAGATGGTGGATGGGGGAAGGGAAATCCTTTCTATCCCTGAAAGCAAACTTCTTGCGACTTGAATCTCCTCTAACTAGGCCTGGGCGGTTGAGCAGAGAATTTCTCCCTCACCCCCGCCTTTCTCCCTCATCTTTTCTTTACTGTACAACTTCTGTCCTGCCGCCCGCGGCCCACTGGGAAGCACGTGTGCCGAAACCCACTTGACGGTGTCCGTAGCCGATGACTTTGCGATTACTGTTAACATTTTCATTCAGTTTTACATTCCCAAATATGGAAAGATGAACGTGCACAGACGATTTTTACTCTAACCAAAGCATCAGCTACCAGTTTAAATGCGAACTCCTGCACTGCTTCCTTTCTGAAAATCGAGGGGGGAAAATGAAAAAGGGCCTAAAAGGCTGCTGGTACATTGCATCGTAAGGATCTTAACACTTACAGCCTTATACCCGTTATTTGACGTCCTATGCCCATAGCGCACTCAAATCGCCAGGGTCAAAAGTGTAGTTGAACCGAGAAGGCTAACGACATACCTTCCAGTTAAGTAGTTTTAGCTAGCTTAACGACTGTAGAGGAAAAGAGCTAAATCAGCCGATTACTCTGATCCGCAGAAGCGGGGGTTATTCCAATGCTGCATTAAAAGTGGCCTGTGCACAATCCATCTCGGCCTCTATGTCCAGTGCTGCACGCTCTCATCTAAAAGGTGGTCCGAGATGTCACGAATAACGAGACGGCAGGAAAGAACATCGGAGATAACAGAACTTAAAGGAGAGGGGTGTCCCTAGCTATGGCGTGCACCCATCCATTTCCTGCTTGTTAGTTGCAGGACATGGCACATCACTTCACCAAATCACTTGGCCTGTCCCTCCTCCCCCACTCTTCCCCCTCCGTCTCCAATTACAATAAAATTAAAGAAACTTGTCGAGCCTTGATGGATCAACACGGTGAAAAAAAAAAAACAAGTTTCGAGCAATTTCCCACGCTTACCGACGCGCGTACAAAATTCCGTCAACGTGCCATTCATAAGGCACGCACGATGTAACGATCATGTGTCAGGACGTCATTCTCCAAGATTACAACCTAAAGTAATAGCTATGTGAGTCTGAATTCACCGTGATTACGGCCCGAGTATAGACCAGATGAAGTGATCCTCTGAATCACTGCGAAATCGTCCCAAATTTTCGCAGTTCATTTTCCCATTTGAATCAGGCTATACGCATGAGACGAGGAAAAGAGAAAAGACGAGGAGGGAAGCTCA